CTGAATGAGGTCGAGCTTCACGTTGCGCTCCAGAAAACTGCAAACATCGAGACTAATATGAACAGCACAATAAACATGAAAACAGCCGTGAATGAACGAGTCCATAAAATTGTGCAACTAAACGCCATTATAATTATTAATATAAAGATAAGTGTCACAAATCTGTGTGGCGGGACATCTGAGCTGTGGAGCCGCAGGAGGAGCTCTGTGCGCTGTGTCGTGACATCAAATGCAGGGCCGTAACGCAGAACCTGGAGGCTGGGGCAGAGTGGGCGAAGGGGTCTAAAATCCTATTTTCTATCCTATTTCCAGACAATACTGGAACACACAAAATTACTAAAGCTTTTTTGTACTGTTGTAACTATTAAACAATCTCCCCTTCTTATAAGTGGAAACTGTTGATGTTACCATTATAAAATAACTTGCAATTAAGTTTTGGCAAAGATCAATGTAATTTTTACAGGTGGTGAAGCGTTGTTGTCAGCAGCTGCTGAAAGTAACTAAAAAAGTTACTTTTAATGTAATGTAGTCACTTTCCAAATAAAGTAATCAGTAATCTAACTAAATTACTTTTTCAAGGAATAATCAGTAATCTGATGAGTTACTTTTTCAAAGTAACTATGCCATTACTGAGTGTAAGCTTGTTTGCATCTTACTCAAGCAAACAAGCTTGTATAATCTCTTCTACCATCATCTGTTGGGGCAGCAGCATCAGAGTCAGGGATCTAAAAAGGCTCAACAACCTGACAACGAAGGCTGGGTCTGTTCTGGGGACTACTGTGAAACTTCTGAAGATGATGGCACAAAGAAAGATTTCACATAAAATCAAGATAATTATGGACAATCCTGACTAACCTCTTCCTGAGATCAGCCATCACCATCTACAATAACTCTGGAGAATTTTGAATAAATGTGAGTTACAACATTTAATTTCCTTTTGAGATCAATAAATATTTTTTCATCGAACTGAGTTGAATAAACTCCTTGTAATGAATCTTCCTCAGAAAAAATCAACCTATAATTATGTGGATCAGATGTCTGACCTTTTAGTTGAATTGGAAGAGTTCTATCAAGTGAATAGAATATGTGAAAACAGCACAGAAATACCTCCTATTTTAACAACACTTTAAAGAATGAGTCTTTGTTACATTTCAACTTCCCCAGTTTATTCATGGTACTTTGTTTTCCCATTTTAAAACTATTAGAAACCTGTTTTTTGTGAGCCATAAAGCTCCACCACCAAATAGGGAGAAATGCACAAAAAATACTTAACTACTGGTAGTTCCTGTTCAGCCAGAGGATAGGGACATCACAAAGCTTTTGTGTTGTAACAGGCCTGGATGTCGCACACCTTGTTTCTTTTTAAAGCGATTATTCTCTGCTGTCGTTCCACCTTAATAATGCATACCATTTTTACTAGTTGTACTGGTAAAAAAGGCATGCCAAAATAATTGGCATAACTGTGAAATGCCAATAAATCTAATCATAACAGGTTCTCCTGCAACCCACAAGAAATTATGGGATGGTTGTTTATTTTCAAAATGCTAAAGTACCTTGTTTCTAATGTTAGCTGGTGTCCCAATGGGAAAGCCCAGGCGCAGAACCATGCAGGGTGTCTTAGAGATCAGACGGACAAGATAAAAGGATGTGGGAATTTGATCCGATGAACTGTGGAGTCAAAGTAAAAAAAAAAAAAAAAAAAGTGTTTCAGTATTATGTTCTTTAAAAGAATGAAGAACGTGTATATGGCATATTTTTTAAGAGCACAGAAAGAGAAATGGTCACAAACAGTGATAACCTTTTTTTTTTTTTACCTGTATATGAGTTTGACATATGAGTAACCTTCCACCAATACAAAGCTGCTGCAGTCCCTCAGCAAGGATGTGAGAGCAGAGTGTGAGATCCGACACTGGATGGTGCTATAGCGGCCATTGTTTCCAGCTGTGTGCAGGTGTTTGGGAACAGGCCTGGAGGGACATTAACCCACAATCTGACTGATCAGGTTAAGTACAGATAACCATTGCAAAATTATACCAAAGACAAAAAAGGTAAGAACAAATTTCAAAGTATTACCTATAAAATGTTCCACTAGAGAGTTCCAATAGGTGTGCACATGGAAGAGAATCAGTTTCTCTTTGCTTCTAATCATACTAAACATTAAAACTTTTCTGAGCATATGTAATTTTTTTTCTTAGGTAAATCTCGACAGTACAGAAAAATCACAGTTTGGTAGGTTTTCAAGAGAATAAAATAAAAAGTGGTCACTGCAATCTATGTTTTTTTTACTGAACACAGCTCAACTGAAGCAACAACAAAACCTCTTAACAGTTATTGTTATTTAGGAAGATTACAGATACTTGATATTTGAGGGGAATTTTTTTTAAATCATTATGCAATGTTTCAGTCAAATGCAACACAATTTGTACTTTAACAGATGTTTCTGCCATCCCAGCTCAATTCAATTTATTTATATAGCACAAAAGGAAAATGAGAATACTGACTGCATATTATAAATGGCATCACATGAAATATGGGTGTAAGTGGTTTGATAATTTAGGACTCTAACATGAGAAACCCCAAAGAATAAATTGTTTCCTGACCTGAGACCACACACTGAGCAAGTCTTAGATCACTGGTTTATCTAAAATTAGATGAAGAAAGTAACTCAGGGAATCTCCAAGTCTGAAGGCCCTTTGCTGCATGTCTTTCTCTTCTCTCTCTTCCTTATTTACTGTCCATTTACTGTTAAATAAAAGCCACAGCAGCCTTAAAAACGTCTTTAAAAAAACACTAAGAACAAAAACAACTCTAGTTAACATGTCGAACAACTACCAATAAACGTCTTCCCTCTTCAAACATCTTTTTATTTCCAGAATATGTCAAGAAGGTATCAAATAATTCCACCTGTATTTAACTGAATATCTCCTCTTTGAACCATTTTAAGCTCTCTATTGGCCATCCTATAGTGCATAACTGCTCAATTGAAAATTACTAATGACTTCCATAAGGAAGTGAACTGCCATGACTTCCTCATGGCAGTTGATTCCAGTTTACTCAAACTTTCCATCTTCCTTGAGCTGAGAGCAACTGTTGGTAAAGTTCCCTACACCATCCTTCTCAAAGGTCATCTTCCTTTGTTATAAAACATACTGCTCTTATGGTTCCTCCTTTATATCATCCATCTTCACCCTATTGTCAATGTATCAGCACGTTCGGTTTGCACTGATTTGTGTTGTATATCCAGCAGTGCTTTTAGTCACTCTGTTCCCTACCCCTGAAATTCCCTCACATGCTGTATGTGAAACATATACTCCACCCACCCACAGTTACAGTAAATAAAAAGCATTATTACCATAATTATCATAATTATAGCCACATGAACCTTTATAAATCCAAATTATTTTAAATGATTTGAATATAAAGATAAAAAGATGTGTTCCTCACAAGTCATGTTCAAGGATAATAGCAATCCGGTGCATGTGTAACCATCGTTGCCAAAAGTTTGTGTCCATAGAGAGTATGGGTTTCCAGTATGATGCAAACTGGGACTGAGATGGGTCTTTGGATCCACTGTGCTGCAAAGACAAAACCTGAAGGAGGAGGACATAATTTAGTTAAAACAGATTAACACAGAGAAAAGAGGCTGTTTTTGCTACTACATAACCAGATTGGTAATGTGAACTGGCTCTTAGCACTTTTCACCTGGGGGCCAGAACATAGGTCTGGCAACCTTTGATCAATGTTATACAAAAACAACAGATTGAAAAAAAAAAAAAAAACCTCTGGAATTCAGCCATATACACATGTGGACAAAATTGCTGGTACCCCTCTCTTTATGACCTCAAAGCTGCCAATGGTCACTGAAATTACTTGAAACTGGCAGAAGACATAGAAATCTACTGAGAATTAACCAGTAACTACAAAATTTCTGAAGAAAGGGGCCTGCACAGTGTGTGTGTTCGATGAAGCCCAGCGTTCTGCTCTGATGCTGAAAATTAGCAACAATGCTAAGGTGAAGTAAAATGTAGTCAATAGCATGTGGAGTATTATGATTATGTTGACTAACATGGACTAACTCCATTCAGTATGAAAACATTAGTGTATAAGCTAAAATTAGCTAATGTTAAGGTTAGCTAGATGCTGTCTGTAGCATGTGTGGTATCAACAGCATGTCATTGACTTACTACATTCAGTATGCTAATCACCAATACATTTTTAAAATCAGCTAAAATTCTCATTTTAGCCAGAAGGGTAATGTTAGCCTTATAGTAAAAACTAGCTATAAGCCTAACATTATCATGACATGCTAGTCATAATGAGTGACTAGCATGTTGATACTACTAGAAGAATGAAGATCATCACTAGGATGTTAACATAAAATTACTCCAGTCAGTGTGCAAACATTTGTTTAGAAGCTAAAATTTGCCAAAATGGTGAAGTTGGCTTAATTGCTGCCAGTAGCACATGAGTCATCGCTAGTATGTTAAGTAACAGACCTGGAATTATTCACTGACAGTGTTCTGTGTTTCATCAAGACCTGCACTGAATGTCGCAGTGAAAAAATTTATCTGGGTCCTCCCAAACAAAAAGGCATGGATGACTCAAAGTCCAGTGGCTGCTTAGAGCACGGAGCAACCTAAAGACGGCGTTGCTCTTCTTGTAAGAACTACAAAAAGAGTATTGAGGAGCACCTGGACAACAACAACAGCAGACAGGTTTGGTTGGGAGTCCAGCATATATCATCAACTACAGGATCAGTCACAGAGCAGCCGAAGGTGACATCTCACTTGCAGAGAAGTTGAACCACTTCTTCGCTTGTTTCGAGTCAGAGCCTCCAGTGGCAGCTATTCCAAATGCAGTAGTGCAATTAAGCACCTCTATTTTCAAGGTAGTGGAATGTGAGGCGAGACACTTGCTACAGTCTGTCAACCCCAGAAAGGCAGCAGGACCTGATGGTGTTCCTGAACGTGTGCAGAGGAACTGTGCAGAACAGCTGGCTGGGATCTTTACGAAGATCCTCCATCATTGTTCCCATTCCTAAAAAAAAAAAATCACCCATCACATGCCTGAACGACTACCAACCAGTGGCTCCGACCCCATTGGTGATGAAATGTTTTGAAAGACTTATTTAGAGTCACATCTTGGCATTCATTCCTTGCACCTTTGATACACACCAAGTTGCCTGTAGAGCTAACAGGTCGACTGGGATGCTCTTGCCACTGTCCTGCATGCTGTCTTTTCCCACCTGGAGTACTGGAAGAGTTACGCATCCTCCTCATTGATTTTATCTCTGCATTCAATACCACCCTCCCTGACAAACTGGTGTGCAAACTGTCAGACCTGGGAATCCTCTCTTCCTCCATACCTCTTCACAGCTATCAGCACTGACTCCCCCCAGGGCTGCGTGCTGAGCCCTCTGCTGTTCACGCTGTACACACACACGACTGTGTTTCAGTCCATCAAAGTACCACCCTTGTTAAATTTGCAGACGACAGCAGTGGGTCTCATCTCAGGGGGGGGATGAGTCTGCCTATAGGGAGATTCATCCACCATGCTGTGGAGTGATACAATTTGTTCCAACGGCTGCCGTCTGGCTACAGATACAGGAGTATTAAAGCAAGGACAAACAGATTAAAGAACAGTTTATGCCCAGTGACGTACATTGGACTTAATTTACTCGTTGCAAAATCTTGTTTTTAACTTGCATTGTTTCAAAATGAGCTTCATGTGTCACTGAGGACTAAATATACCGTATTTTCCGCACTATAAGGTGCACCTTCAATGAATGGCCTATTTTAAAACTTTTCATATGTAAGGCGCACTGCATTATAAGACGCATAGAATAGACGCTACAGTAGAGGCTGGAGTTACGTTATGCAACCACTAGATCAGTGTTTCTCAACCTTTTTTGGCCCAGCGCCCCCCAAGCCTTTATCCAGGTCCCTCACCGCCCTCCACCAAAGAATTTGCAGGCTACTTTGCACTATTATTTTATTATTAATATTACTGTCACTATTGTAGATGTTTTGATTTTTATGCTTGTTTCTGTTCATCAAAAATTATTTCCCAGACAGTAAAAAAGCCATGGGA